TTCAAGATGATACAACTTGTGTTTTATGTAATAAACAGGAAGATAGGGATCATCTCTTCTTTGAGTGCCCATCTGCTAAGGAAATCCATGAGAAAATTTTTATTATCTTGGAATGAATTGGAATCCAATCAATTCCCAGGAGGCAGAAGCTAAGTGTAGAAAAGAGAAACAAAGCTAAGAAGAAAGATCTTGAGTGCAGCCATTGCTGCTGACTGTTACTTCATCTGGAAAGCTCAGAATCAGGTTATTCAGTAGAAGAAGACTATTAATATTGAGAAAATCATTGCTGATATCCAAGTTCATAATAAACCATACATTAACCGTAAGTGTAGGAAAGCTAATGTTGGTTTGAAGTTGTTTGTTTTGTATAGTATGTTGGCTTGAGCTCGTATAACTTTTGTTCAAGAAAAAACCTACAACAACCCCCTCTTTTATGCATATATAGTATATTAAATAAAGAAGTTTTAGTTTCTTTAATTGTTGTGAGTCTTCTATGCATATATTATATACTCCAGATTAAATATAAAATTCTAAGTACAATTATATCTATCAAACATAGATAAAAATAAATTCAGTTGCTGAACTGAACTGAGATATTGAACTGAACTGAATCTTCATAAATATGATTAAATTAAAAGCAATTTAACTACTCATACACCTATATATATAATTAAAATCTATTTAAATCTTATATTAAACTTCCTTCGTCCCAGAAAGATGTTCTTATTTCATTTTTTGTACATCCCATGAAACACTTCTACCCACATATATGATGTCTAAAATTCACTCCATTTCTCTCTTATTGCAAGTAGAAGTTGTTTTGGAGGTATTTTTGACATTTGAGATGGGGTAAAAGTATTTTATGGGATACGCAAAAATGAAACAGGAACATCTTTTAGGAATGGAGTGAATATATTTTAATCCAGATTTCAGTTCTCCAGTTATGTTACCAGTTACAAGACTCTTGACTCCTGACTCCATTTAGACATAAAGCAAAAAGAACATGGCCTAAAAGATTGCAGCACGTTAGAATAAGAAATCATATCTGTAATATAATGATCTATTGAATTTATTAGAGGTCACATACTGCAAACAGTAGAGACTAGAGAATATACATAAATGTTATATCTACCTCAATACAGAACTCTCCTGTTTCAGGCTCTTTGGCTACTGTAGCTGTCAGCCCAGCTGCAGATGAAGACTTACCAGATGTGTAGACAGATCTGGGAACCAAATCTGATGTGTACCTGGAAGTAAAGTACTAATAAGTATAATAACAGTAATAAAAAAACATCTTTTAGTGCAACAAAATAAGTTAACAAGAATGATGATAAAATTGTCAGCAATATAAAAAGATATACTTGAGAAACTGAGATTTTGCACAGCTAGGATCACCAACAATGCAGACATTGATATCTCCCCTCAAGTTAATGCCTTCGTGAGTAAACTTGTGAACACCACCTAAAAGCATAAGCAAGATTGCTCGCTTGATATCTTGGTGTCCAAAAACACTTGGAGCAATACTACCTACAAGCTTATTGAAAAAATCGGGAGTATTCCTCATTGTTTGTATTTCATCTAGTTCTTGTTCCTGTCAATACAGTAAGAAATCATATTACCCCAAGATTCTTGTATTTTGAGAAAAGAATAAAGAACAGTTTACAGGCTACAAATAATGCACTATTGCACTGTTAGACCATTACCTCTCAAACATCTATGAGGTAATCGAACATTTGGAAAAGATAAAACATGGAAGATTCATACATTTGGATCTAACAAGAGAGAATCCTTATGACTCGGTGTATTAAACTCCAATTTACAAAAGAGCATATGAAGTATGAACTGATCCTTATATGCTGATCCAGAGCTACCCGCCTTCCAATGTTGACCATTTTAAAGCTAATCTTATTTTAAAATGTGGAAAAGATTGTTGACCATTTATGAAATATGCCTGGCTGGTGACTACAAAGAAACATTGAACTCCTATGTTTTTCATTTGCTTCATCATAATGCACATCTAACCATGAGTACCTCCAAATGTAATGAAACTTGAGTATAGTGATGAATACATACCGTGAACTGTGGATTGTCCTCCTCATCGGCATCTCTCATATTTCTGACATCAATATCTCTTCGACCATCACATACCTGTGAATTATATCAGGATATGCAATTTAAATAGAGGCTAAGAAATGCCATATCATAGTCTACCCACATAATAAGCAACAATGATTCATCACTTCTAACAAGATGTAGAACATTGGAACACTTTTTGAAACGTTGATATACAAAGTGGATGAACTTATGCATCCAATGACCTGAACTGAATTGGCAATAAAGGCTAGGCGGTAAGAGAGATCTCTCACACCCAATGCACGGAGTCCTTTAACACCTTCTTGGCCTGCAGTAGCATTCTTTTGTTGAGGACCATCCCTGCGACACTCAGCTCTTTCTCCTGGAGAGGCCAGGGCAAATATGTCAGGTATTACCACCACAGTGCCAGTGAATACAACCCTACAACAAAACATGCATCACAAAATGAAATTTTAAAAGTAAGAGTAGAATGTCCATCTTTGAGTAGTTAGTTGGGTATACTATAAGATTCATCTACATGTATATGATTGGAAAAAAACTACTTACGTGTCACCAGCCCTGGCTTGTTCAACAATATCGTGACGTAAAATGACATCAAGCGATCTTGGAAGAGAGCCAGCAGGTATCTCCTTAGATGTCTCCTGCATTCGGACTCTCTGCCAATCGGCAAATTTGCTATCTTGTCTTAGCAACGCCCATCTCACTGTGTTTGTACATGTAGCATTCATGCAGACAATAGGCTGCAAAGGAAAAATATCAAGCAATTGGGTCATAGCACTGAATCACTTATTCTATATAAGGAACATCTTGTTTCTTGGCATTTTTGTATTACACTTAAGAAGAGTAATAGTTTCATAACAACAAATAAGCAAATACACATATCCATATATGAATAGAAATAGCAAAGGAATGCATTTAAAATGAAACTACTAACGAGAATCAACAGCAAACCTCAGTATATTTGAATTGTTGTTCAACATTCTTAATGACAGTAGCACAGTCCAAACACTTGAAAGTCCCTTGTAAAAGTTCAGGCCGAACCTCACTTGTCCGAGTAACCACTCCTGTCACAGCTACCAGTTTCCCAATCTCTGATGTAGTCAACTCCCTCAATCTGCAACTCAACAATCAGAAAGAAGTAGAGAGGCACTCAGTCTAGTCCAGAATAAATTGAAAGAAAAATTAAAAATGAATATATTGTAACTTTCAAAGAGTAAGCAAAGACTGCACCTCTTAATTAAGGGAAGATTGTAAAAAGCAACATTAACATCCTTGTTAGGGTTATTAGCTGTTATGAAATTGGGATTCTGCTCCATCACGAATCTCTGGCAGGCACTCTTTAAATATGGTTCGAACCTTGACACAGTTTTAGCAAACAGACAAAATTTAATACTCCGTAGGGTTCTTGAGGAGCTTGAAGGATCTTTTGAAGATGCTAGGGTTACCTGAGAAAATTATCAGAAATAGTTCTCTGAAGAGGGTCGTTAAAGCGCATAACGTGGGAAAAGTCGATAAACAGTGTGTTGGACTCGTTGGGCCGCATCCCCGCGATCTCTAATTCGTAGTAAGGCTCCCGGGAGTTGGCATCCAACCGGAAACTGACAACAAACAGAAAAATAATAAGAGAGCTTGTAGAAATTGGACCAGATTGAGGCTATTCTGAGAGAGGAAATTGAAAACTGAAGAGCATAATTCTTTGAAGAAGAGAACCTCTTTAGAAACTCCATGAGAGCGTTCTCCACCGCCGCCGCTTCCTCATCGACGAAGTACCCAGCGCCGCCACGATCCATTTCCGAAAGCTCGAAAATTAAAGAGCAGGATCAGTATTCGCCGATTTCCACTCCCTCTTTGGGCTTTACTGCGCCTTCTAGCTTCTTGAAACTCTTTAGGCAATGCAGAAAATTTTGCGAGATTAGTGTAAGGAATGCCTGCAAGGCGGGATTTTGTGAAAGCCGCCGCACTTGTTTCCCGCCAAATCAACTAGACACTGGTTCAGATTTACAAGCCCGTTGCACATCTCAATGGCCCATTATTTAACCCCCCAAGCCCGAAGTCGTCGTAAAGATTAGAGCAGCAAGTAGAAAATGGAAGTCACGCAATAAGTCGATGAGGTAGAGTATTTTAATAATTTAATCAATCAAAATTAGTTCACTCACTATCTTGGAAGTGAAATGAGTGGTATTCTTTTGAATGGTAAGTTATTATTTGTTAATGGATGCTAGTCTATGAGTTGGTTCTAGCCATGGGCGGATCTAGGTATAACCTAATGGGAGCAATTGCCCCCAATGAATTTTAAAAGTGTCCATAGTAGTCCCCTAATTTTTCTTTAAAAAAAAGTTATGCCCCCATTGAAAAAAATAAAATGCCCATGATAAAAATAAATTTTATGTAAAAAATAAAAAAATATCTACCATTAAAAATAAAATATTTGAAATTTAATTGAGTCAAAATTAAAAATTATTTAGAGCAAATAAAATTATAGGAAATATTTTTTAGATTATTCATTAATTATTTGAATGCGTCATTGAGTAAAAATAATATTTTTTTGTAAGTTCACATTGTTATTTTGAAGAAAAAACAGAAGCGCTTCCCCCCAATCCCTAGAGTAGTCTCGCCCCCAGTCCTTGCGATTCCTGGATCCACCACTGGTGAGCGTTAGATACTTCCACTCTCCCTATTTTTACAGGTAGTGTTAAATATATTTAATATATATTTATGTTAAGTATATTTAATGTATTTATTATTATATCATTGTATTATTGGTAGTTATCTTTTGTATAGGTTTCCTTACTTATACTCCTACCATGATTAGGAGTCCCACCTTGTATATAAATACGGTTGTACTCCTACACAATCAATCAATCGAAAATATTCATTCTTCATGGTATCGGAGCCTATTCCTAAAACTTAATTTTCCTCTCCTGCTCTCGGCTCTCTCTCCTTTTCGGCACTGCCTCTCTCGGTAGTAAGGGTGCCGCAGGCCACCACTTCTCCTTCAACTCTTGATTTCTTCTTCCTCTCATGGATACCTCCGACAAAACAACGGACAAATCCTCTTCATCATCATCATCCTCAAATTCTCCTCACTTGGCATTCACGGCAATATCCAACGTCAAGCTCCATGTTCCCATACAATTGAGCTTCTCTCAACCAAACTACAAAAAATGGTGCCGCCTATTCTTGCTTCTTGTTCGAAGGTTCAATCTCCATGGCTTTCTCTCCGGATTCAAGATCCCCTCGTCCGCCGACGATGACGAATGGTTTCAACTAGATGCCTTGCTTCAAGGATGGATTCTCTCCACGGTGACCGATGAGGTCTCCGACTTGGTCATCTCCTCTACCTCTATGGCCTCCGAGCTTTGGAGGGTTATTCATGATCTCTTCCATGACAATAAACCCGCTTGGGCAATGCAATTGGAACACCAATTCCGCACCACGGTTAAGGGATCCATGCCCATGGCTACTTATTGTCAAACCCTACGCAACATAGCCGATTGGCTAAATGACGTTGACGCCCCGGTCTCCGAACCACAGCTCGTGCTCCAATTATTGCGGGGTCTACCGGACGATCTCCAAGCACAAACATCTTGGATGCAATTTCAACAGCCCCAACCTAATTTTCTCCGAGTCCGATCGGCGTTGTTGCTCCTAGAACGTCAACGAATGCACTCCATCGAGACCGGGACAGCCCTCCTAGCAAGCCGAACCAACGGGCAGCCGGGAACGAACCAGCAGCAGCTGCATGGCCGAACCGGCGGCGTGGCAGATCCGGCGGCTGGCCGTGGCTACCATGGCTGAAGTGGCGATCGTGGTGGTCAAGGCCGAGGACGAGGAAGAGGCCGGAACTCTGGCGGGCAGCGACACTCGGAAGGCTACAGATCTTGGAACTCACCGAACCAAAACCCTAACCCATACATCGAGTGTTCTCGGCCCTCACCCCACCCCCTACTCCTACTCTAATGCTTTTGCCCATTACTCCTACTCCAACCACCCTAATCTCCCCCCACCCGCCCCATACTACCCCTACCCGATAGCCCCCTTACCCCGGTACCCTACCCCTCCCCCGCCACCTACCTGCAGGCACCCACCCCCACCCCCACAGCTTCGACACTATGACCCTACGGGAACCCACTTGGCTAATGGACACCGGAGCCTCTCATCACATCGCCTCCGATCCAGGTACTATTTCTCATGTCTCTTCTCAATCATTAAATTCACCTCTTCATATCACTGTAGGTAATGGATATAAAGTTAGCACTACGGCTATTGATAGCCATTTTTTCCCACCAACCCCCTCTTATCCCTTAAAAATGTCCTTATATCTCTTCATATTATCCACAATCTTATCTCTGTCCGACAATTTACCCGTGACAATAACTGCTCTATTGAATTTGATGCTCATGGTTTTTCTGTGAAAGACCTTCGGACGGGAACCGTGATACATCGATCCAATAATGTTGTCCCTCTCTACCCCCTGCGCCCCACCGCACAAGCCCAAGCACTCAGCGCGTCAGTTGACATCCAAACATGGCACCGGCGCCTGGGTCCGTGGAGTCTCGAGTCTTTCTCATTTATTTAAACATTCTAGTCTAAGTTTATGTCATGCGTGTCAGTTGGGAAAACATGTTCGTCTCCCATTTTATCAGTCCTGTCGTGTCTCTACGTTTCCGTTTGAATTATTACATACAGATTTGTGGCAATCTTCCATACCTAGTGTTACTGGTTTTAAACATTAAATGTTATTATTGGATGATTACTCGCATTATTTATGGGTTTTTCCTTTAAAACAAAAATCTGATGCTTTTAATCATCTTAATTTTTTCACTAAGTATGTTCAAAACCACTTTAACACCTCAATTAAATCTGTTCAATGTGATAATGGTACAGAATATCGCAATTCCCCCCTCCAAAATATTTTTGCCTCCTTAGGGATTTTATTCCGTTTCTCGTGTCCCCACACTAGCCAGCAAAACGGCCGGGCAGAGCACACCATTCACACCATAAACAACACCGTCAGCACTCTTCTTTTTCAAGCCCACCTCCCACCCGAATATTGGGTAGAGGCCCTACATATGGCTGCTCACCTTTTCAACCTTCTTCCAACCACCACGCTTCACAACCAAACCCCACACACCCTTCTATATAAAAATCCACGTACTTACTCCCACCTCCGTGTCTTTGGATGTCTTTGCTATCCAAACACGACTGCCACCGCCCCACACAAAGTCGCCCCACGCTTCGCTCGGTGCATTTTCCTAGGCTATCCCTCTAATCAACGCGGATATCGTTGTCTTGACCTCCAAACTAACAAAATCATTATTTCCTGACATGTAGTGTTCGATGAGTCCTCTTTCCCTTTTTCCCAATCTTCCAATCCCAATGATCTCAATTTTCTGGACACCAC